AAAAATGAAAAGCAGGAGTTCCTAAACGGCCTGGAACAGAATGATGCGGTTGCCATACAGGTGTATCAGTGACGTCGACAATGGAACAACGTCACTGCTCTTTGTGTTTCATACTCTGGTGACATCACAGACAAATTACGTCAACAATGAGCTGACGTCAGAGACAATCAGTCAATCTGCAGTGTAGGCGACCGGCGGACTTGTGGGCCGACGTGTTGCTTTAGGGAGCAACTAAACGAGCAGGTAATGACGGGATAGGGGTGAGCGTTCGGCACAGGGAAACTAGTACTCTTTTCTTTCTTTCACAAAACATTACAATGATATGTTCATAATTTTCAACAAGGCCGACATGTTATAAAGTTCCACGTGCACACGACAGATGCCTGTGTATAATGTTGAATGATATGCCCCCGTTGTTTTGTAAATGAAACATGTCTTGGGTAAGTTTCTGATCATGAGAAACCTATGTTCTGTTGAGAGTCGCGTTTTGGAAATGTGTTAGCTTGTAATGTATTAACTGTACTTAGTCTGGTGTTTGTATCGTGTTGATATTTCTAGACATTCTGAATTGGCAGGGGGCGGCCGTTGAACACAGGCTTATGTGTTTTATAAGCACTGACTACCGTCCCACCTGATTGGATGGTGTATCCAAGGATGTGGTTGTGTACTGTATTCAACAGGAATTACTACTTGTATATTGGCGGAGGTTTGTGCCCCGATCCACCCCCTTTACACTGGCGTCACGCTCAGTAAGGTACAGCACTTTCCCCTCTCATCCTCTGTAACTAGCATGTGGTATCCCGAACACATTTGAGTCTCACTTGTGCTTGGAAAAGGCTACAAGTAGACACACGTGTAGGTTCAAGATGATGCTTCGTTTGTGTTATCAGTAAGTATTTAGGAAGTGACAGTTAGTGGGGCTATTTCAAGGTACTGTCGCTACATCTACCAGATGGAACTACTCAGTCCAAGTGGGCTTTTCAAAGGGATTGAGTTGGAAACGTACTTTCGCTATTCTTAGACGCCAAATTCAACTAAAGATGCATCTAAATAATAGATAAATACGGATTAAGTTGGGCTTTCGTTGCCGTTGCTAGGGATTGATCTGTGTTGTTGAGTGTAGTTTCAGCATCTAAAGCAGTCTCAACTAAACCACAACAGACAGAATGGAAATGGGTCTAAACTAAGATCGCAACTCGATCACTGACCCGAATAATGAAGAGCAACTTCAAAAGATGAAAAGCAGGAGTTCCTAAACGGCCTGGATCAGAATGATGCGGTTGCCATACAGGTGTATCAGTGACGTCGACAATGGAACAACGTCACTGCTCTTTGTGTTCCATACTCTGGTGACATCACAGACAAATTACGTCAAGAATGAGCGAAAATGCTACACTGTGTAAAATATGTATTTTGCTTTGTTTACATTTCAAACAAGTGCAGTTTTTCGAGCACAGCGTTCGTTTTCACACCTAACATATTTTGCTTGATTTCATCCATCCACTTTGTATTGGTGACAAAGACCATTGGTCATTTGATTCTAAAATGTATGAGGAATTCAAGGATGTGTGTATGGCAGCTAAGTTTGAAATATACACGACGTTACAGGCGCCTCATAACCGGTGTACCTGAAACGTGATTTTGTAAACACTAGCCAATATGGCGGAAAGTTCACAAAGATCTGTGTTGTTGAGTGTAGTTTCAACATCTAAAGCAGTATCAACTAAACCACAACAGACAGAATGGAAATGGGTCTAAACTAAGATCGCAACTCGATCACTGACCCGAATAAGGAAGAGCAACTTCAAAAGATGAAAAGCAGGAGTTCCTAAACGGCCTGGAACAGAATGATGCGGTTGCCATACAGGTGTATCAGTGACGTCGACAATGGAACAACGTCACTGCTCTTTGTGTTCCATACTCTGGGGACATCACGGACAAATTACGTCAACAATGAGCTGACGTCAGAGACAATCAGTCAATCTGCAGTGTAGGCGACCGGCGGACTTGTGGGCCGACGTGTTGCTTTAGGGAGCAACTACACGAGCAGGTAATGACGGGATAGGGGTGAGCGTTCGGCACAGGGAAACTAGTACTCTTTTCTTTCTATCACAAAACATTACAATGATATGTTCATAATTTTCAACATGGCCGACATGTTCTGTTGAGAGTCGCGTTTTGGAAATGTGTTAGCTTGTGAATATATTAACTGTACTTAGTCTGGTGTTTGTATCGTGTTGATATTTCTAGTCATTCTGGATTGACAGGGGCGGCCGTTGAACACAGGCTAATGTGTTTTATAAGCACTGACTACCGTCCCACCTGATTGGATGGTGTATCCAAGGATGTGGTTGTGTACTGTATTCAACAGGAATTACTACTTGTATATTGGTGGAGGTTTGTGCCCCGATCCACCCCCTTTACACTGGCGTCACGCTCAGTAAGGTACAGCACCTTCCCCTCTCATCCTCTGTAACTAGCATGTGGTATCCCGAACACATTTGAGTCTTACTTGTGCTTGGAAAAGGCTACAAGTAGACACACGTGTAGGTTCAAGATGATGCTTCGTTTGTGTTATCAGTAAGTATTTACGAAGTGACAGTTAGTGGGGGCTATTTCTAGGTACTGTCGCTACATCTACCAGATGGAACTACTCAGTCCAAGTGGGGTTTTCAAAGGGATTGAGTTGGAAACGTAATTTCGCTATTCTTAGACGCCAAATTCAACTAAAGATGCATCTAAATAATACATAAATGCGGATTAAGTTGGGCTTTCGTTGCCGTTGCTAGGGATTGATCTGTGTTGTTGGGTGAAGTTTGAACATCTAAAGCAGTCTCAACTAAACCACAACACACAGAATGGAAATGGGTCTAAACTAAGATCGCAACTCGATCCCTGACCGGAATAATGAAGAGCAACTTGAAAAGATGAAAAGCAGGAGTTCCTAAACGGCCTGGAACAGAATGATGCGGTTGCCATACAGGTGTATCAGTGACGTCGACAATGGAACAAGGTCACTGCTCTTTGTGTTCCATACTCTGGTGACATCACAGACAAATTACGTCAACAATGAGCTGACGTCAGAGACAATCAGTCAATCTGCAGTGTAGGCGACCGGCGGACTTGTGGGCCGACGTATTGCTTTAGGGAGCAACTACACGAGCAGGTAATGACGGGATAGGGGTGAGCGTTCGACACAGGGAAACTAGTACTCTATTCTTTCCTTCACAAAACATTACAATGATATTTTCATAATTTTCAACAAGGCCGACATGTTATAAAGTTCCACGTGCACACACGAGAGATGCCTGTGTATAATGTTGAATGATATCCCCCCGTTGTTTTGTAAATGAAACATGTCTTGGGTAAGTTTCTGATCATGAGAAACCTATGTTCTGTTGAGAGTCGCGTTTTGGAAATGTGTTAGCTTGTAATGTATTAACTGTACTTAGTCTGGTGTTTGTATCGTGTTGATACTTCTAGACATTCTGAATTGGCAGGGGGCGGCCGTTGAACACAGGCTTATGTGTTTTATAAGCACTGACTACCGTCCCACCTGATTGGATGGTGTATCCAAGGATGTGGTTGTGTACTGTATTCAACAGGAATTACTACTTGTATATTGGCGGAGGTTTGTGCCCCGATCCACCCCCTTTACACTGGCGTCACGCTCAGTAAGGTACAGCACTTTCCCCTCTCATCCTCTGTAACTAGCATGTGCTATCCCGAACACATCTGAGTCTCACTTGTGCTTGGAAAAGTAGACACACGTGTAGGTTCAAGATGATGCTTCGTTTGTGTCATCAGTATATTATTTACGAAGTGACAGTCAGTGGGGGCTATTTCTAGGTACTGACGCTACATCTGCCAGATGGAACTACTCAGTCCAAGTGGGGTTTTCAAAGGGATTGAGTTGGAAACGTACTTTCGCTATTCTTAGACGCCCATTATCATGCCAATTCAACTAAAGATGCATCTAAATAATACATAAATACGGATTAAGTTGGGCTTTCATTGCCGTTGCTAGGGATTGATCTGTGTTGTTGAGTGTAGTTTCAACATCTAAAACAGTCTAAACTAAACCACAACAGACAGAATGGAAATGGGTCTAAACTAAGATCGCAACTCAATCCCTGACCCGAATAATGAAGAGCAACTTCAAAAGATGAAAAAAAGGAGTTCCTAAACAGCCTGGAACAGAATGATGCAGTTGCCATACATCGACAATGGAACAACGTCACTGCTCTTTGTGTTCCATACTCTGGTGACATCACAGACAAATTACGTCAACAATGAGCTGACGTCAGAGACAATCAGTCAATCTGCAGTGTAGGCGGCCGGCGGACTTGTCTGTTTCATATTCCAGAAACAGAAAAGCAACAATTCATTTATGACATATATCTGTATTTCATATTCTTTACATGACACATAAAACAATAAAATTCATTTTGAAAAGCACATACACATATGATACACAATAAAACACAAAAGAATTGGTTTCGAGGTATTTTCTTTGGGAGTTGACCTCATTACAAGTCACTGAACCACAACATGTCCCAGAAGCCCTGTATTCCTGCTTTTGGACTATTTTCAAATGGAAAAGAAGAATTAGTTTTTGCCATATTGCTCGAACTTGACATAATGTTGATGTTCATGAACAAGTTGGTAACACAGTTGTAAATCCTACTCATCTAACATAACTGAAGTTCAGTATGTACACAACGCTTCAATACAATAAAATAATGGAGAATAACGAAATAATGCATTTCACTGTTACACTGTTCCAGGTAACACAGCCTATGAAATCATTGACATCTCTCTCTAGGACATCGGCAGTATTTATGAACAGCAAATAGTTCCTAAAGGAAATAGAATATTTGTTTTACATTTGAAGTATCAACTTCTTCCTAGTGAGTGAGTGAGTGAGTGAGTGAGTGAGTGGGTGAGTGGGTGGGTGGGTGGGTGGTTGGTTGGTTTTACGCCGCTTTTAGCAATATTCCAGCAATATCACGGCGGGGGACACCAGAAATGGGCTTCACACATTGTACCCATGTCGGGAATCGAACCCGGGTCTTCTGCGTGACGAGCGAACGCTTTAACCACTAGGCTACCTGACCGCACCCCCTGATGTGGAGAACAAACAGGGCCCGGAAGTCAGTCACACCAGCTAGAAGAAGCTTTATAATAAGTTTCGTGTTAAGCGTTTATTCACTAGTGCCACATTTTATGTTTATTTCATATCTTAATCAAGATATTAAAGTGTTATCTCCGGTCGCTAGGCAGCGCAACCAGCTGAAGTCAAAGTCTCGTGAGACTCAACGAAATCTCACCATTCTCCATTACCAGCTTGGTACAGATACAGTGTGTTACTTTGCACAGAGATTTTTTCGTGGTATTTATATAGTGTTTCATTCAACGACGAGTTATCTGGCTCCTGTTTATTTGTATGTGTGTTTATCAAACTGAGACCATGTGCTGATGTAACAAAAATTTACTTCGGGATAATAAAGTTATCTTTATCTTAGGTTTTGTCGGCACACAGTACTGAGTAAGCGAGTTTGGTTTGAACACATATTTCAGTTACATCTTTGCTTGATGGCCTGGTGATGGAGATGTTGGACCTTTACCACTTTGGTGAAACCCACTGGCAATGGAATGTTGCAGACAATCCCAAAACATAAATAGGGCGATTTGGGATTTGAACCTATTATCATAGGTTTCTGGCTTGCCCAAGGGCACTCTGCATAGAGATCTTCCCGCACCTAGGACGACATCATTGCAACAAAGGAAGAAAGAAGTGGTGCCTTAAACCACCCTACCAAAATATGATCCACAACGTTTTCAGTGAACCATGACAGTCCTAAATAATACAATATCATCAGTCAACAATGCCATTAATATCTTGTTGGAATCAAGAAATGCTTAACTTTTCAATGCCTGTAAGTCCAATAATAACCAAACTTAGACAAATCACAAGAGCAGGTAACTAAAACTAAACAAACTACACTATTAAATTGGTCTCTTTTCTGAGATATTTGTGAATTGACCCAAAGGATACAAAAAACACATTTTCAATATTCAAAAGTCATATGTGATAACTGTGATATACACTAATATACAAGACACCTGTGTCCAATGACACCTAACACTGAAACAATGTCCTGTGTCCTGATGGGCCACCAATGCTGGCCACGATTGTTTCAGGGTTGAAAATCCAGCAATACACCCTGCTGAACACAATGGCCCCTGAGAGTGCTGCCTTATTGGACCAGCACTACCACCCCCCTGGGCTACCTGCTGAACCTTGCTGTCTCCGACCCTGGTGGCCTCTGCAGTCACCTGCTGCAGCTCATCGGATCAGCACTACCACCTCCCGGGGGGCCCCCCGCTGAACCTTGCGGCCCCAGGCCCTGATGGCCTCTGGGGGTACCCACCACCCATTGGACCAGCAGAAAACTGTGGCTGTCCTCCAAATGTTGACCTTGAGTTTGGTGGTCTGATCATTGTGTATGGACCACCATTGTGATCTGAGTTCTGCATGAGTCTTGTATCAACAATAGGACTATTAAATCCAGTATGTCCTTGTGAAAAACCATCTGAATGACCTTGAAATGGACCACCTCTAAAGTTGTGGCTTTGGAAGCCACGATTTGACAGATGACCTTGGTGGTCCATGTGTTGATTTTGACCTTGAAGACCCCCAAAATGAGGTCCCCGCGGCTGACTCTGGAACTGAGGCGGGAAGTGAGGTCCACCAGACTGTCTGTTACCTCCCCTGCCTCCCCGGAAATTGGGTGGCGAGATGAAAGGTCGGGAAGAATGACCCCTTGGCCCAAACGGTCTCATCTGAGGTTGCCATTCATCATTTTGAGAAGACATCCATGTTTCCTGGGGCTTTTGAGGCCAGTTACTGCCGTCACTGGGAGGCCAGCTGTCCATCTGCTTCGGAGGCCAGCTATGTCCCCCTCGCCCTCCTCTCTGATTAGTCGTCTTCGAATGTCCTCGAGTTGAATCTGGCCAAACAACAAACACATGGTGTGTAATTCATGTTAAGTTTAAACTTTCATAACGGTGTCTTCCACTGCCATATTACCATACATCTAGACCAACAGCACTAGGGGAACTGATTTCTTTTACTTCTTTTTAGAACCGTGAAGATCTGGGGTAGAAAAGGTCTTCAGCAACCCATCCTTGCCGTAAAAAGCGACCATGCTTGTCGCAAGAGGCGACTAATGGGATCAGGGAGTCAGACTCGCTGACTTGCTTGATGCATATCATCGTATCCCAATTGCATGGATTGATGCTCATGATGTCAATCACTGGAATGTTTGGTCCAGACTTGATTATTTACAGACCACCGTCATATAGCTTGAATATTGCTGACTGAGGCATTAAACAACAATCAAAACAAAACAAAATATATCTTTAAATCCTAATTTCTGTGAACTTTTGTAACATAAGAGTATGACAGAGATATAATTGTTAATAGCCTTACCTTGATTGATTCCATTTCCACCTTCACCCCTGAAACAAAAAACAAACAAGAATGGTTTTACCACACAGGAAAGGTTAAAAAAACAAATTTCCAAATTTCCAGTCATCATTATTTGATAGCGACCTGTATATAGTATCATCATTACTTAATGAATCTGGCCTGTCTGATTGGCCATTCACTGTCCTGTAAAAACCCATACAAACTGGCAGGTAGAGACATCACGATGTCATCTATGTCATGTGACATCTCCGCCATCACAGTTGTTCAATGTCACACTTAAAGTTACCACGCTGAAACTCTGATGGGGGGGGGGGGGGGGGGGGGGGGGGACTCGAGATTGATATTATGTCACATGAAATTAATTCACTTAAAACATGTCTTGCAACTAATGAACTCATAATGATTGATTCATTGCTTGAATCACTTGGTTTAGTCTTGTGGTGAACACACCCATTGAGCCTGTACCCCCAATAGTGACACATGCAACTAATAATCCAGCTGTAACTGAGGAAGTGAGTTGGGTTTAACACTGCTTTGAACAGTATTCTAGTCATATCACGACGTGTCAGTTCAGTGTAGGAGGAAAGACCGAAGGATGCAGGTCTCAGACGTTTGTGAAAGCCACGAGAACGGGTATGGTGCTGACATAGGAACATAATCGGGGCGAACTGGGAATTCGAACCCACGATCACAGGCTTCTGGCTTGCCCAAGGGACACAACTCTGCTGACTTGGCCACCTGTGCCCCCTCCAGCTTGAAACAGACATTTGTATACTTCATCATCTAGCTACATCCTTCACCATTACCTCATCTTCTTCTTCCTGTTGTTGCGAGGCTTCTTATTGGCAGACTGGTCATCAGCATTGCTCTCTTCAGGAACCGTTTTGTTGCGATTCTTGGACTTCACCCTCTTCTCATCTTCATCATCGGAGAATTCCATACACTACGGAGTAGAATAGACGAACACATACCATCAGTAGACTGACACGCAGACCACAACATGCACATTTCTAGAAACAATCACAGAACATACAACTTGTTTTGTCCTTCTAAGACAAGTTGTCATAGCGACACAAGGTTTGAAACCTTTGTAAGTGATAGTAACTAACTGATCAAATCCCCAGTTAGAATTTTCCAAGGTAACCTTGTGCCTTGCTACACATAATTTGTGTTGCTATCATATCAACAAACATATCAGCAAATGTCACCATGGCAACTAAATAAGTACTTACCCAAGATGGTGGCTCATTGTTGTTTTCCCATGATGCATCAGATCCTTTGATTCTGAGAAACAAAAGAACAGAGGTCAATGATTTGAATTGAACTTTAAACACTATTATATCACATCTTCTCAGTTTAAAGTAGTAGAAACATTGACAGACCAAAGTTCACAATAAACAAACAGATTCTGGTATGTCTAATGTATCCAGACAATCCTAACTGGTCCAATCTACCGACAACCTGGTAAACACACAATCTTGAGTTCAATTTCCGCAGGGATACTGATGGCGGACAATCTGCGGGTCCTTGTCCTAAAACTCACTTCTTCAGCTGCTCCACAAACACAAACTGGGTGTACTCCTGTTCTTTGGGGGCGCAGTAGATGCCCATCCCTGCGACAATGTTCCTGTCGGTGATGTCCTCTGTGGTGTTGAATCTTACTGAGTAAAATGGAGAGGCCACTGCACCAAATACTTCAAATATCTGAAACACAAACAGAAAATCGCATCAAATAACTGAAAAAAATACTGAGTCAAACACTCAAAAGTTAAAAGTCAACACAGTTGTATCAGGGCAATCCTCATGTTAAAGTCTGGGAATTGCTTGGAGAAGCATGATTATTTCTGTTACATCACGACATGTGGAAGGAGTATTTCTGTTATATCACAGTGTCAGCTTGATGGGGCCTCTTTACAACTTTGGTGGGTATGGTGCTGACAAATCTATTATCATTAGCAGGGCAAATCTTGGATCCTAACTAGTCACAGAACCATGAACACCTAAGGGTCATGGGATCATGCACACCCAAGGATCACAGGATCATGAACACCTAAGGATCACAGGATCATGAATACCTAAGTGTCATACACACCCAAGGATCACAGAATCATGCACACCCAAGGATCACAGGATCATGAAGACCTAAGGATCACAGGATCATGAATACCTAAGTGTCATACACACCCAAGGATCACAGAATCATGCACACCCAAGGATCACAGGATCATGAAGACATAGGGTCATGAACATCTAAGGGTCATAGGGTCATGAACACCTAAGGGTCACAGAATCATGCACACCCAAGGATCACAGGATCATGAACACCTAAGGATCACAGGATCATGAATACCTAAGTGTCATACACACCCAAGGATCACAGAATCATGCACACCCAAGGATCACAGGATCATGAACACCTAAGGATCACAGGATCATGAATACCTAAGGGTCATAGGGCCATGCACACCCAAGGATCACAGGATCATTAATGCCTAAGGATCACAGGATCAGGAATACCTAAGTGTCATACACACCCAAGGATCACAGAGTCATGCACACCCAAGGATCACAGGATCATGAATACCTAAGGATCACAGGATCATGAAAACCTCAGGGTCATAGGGCCATGCACACCAAAGGATCACAGGATCATTAATACCTAAGGATCACAGGATCATGAATACCTAAGGATCACAGGATCATGAATACTTAAGGATCACAGGATCATGAATACCTAAGGGTCATAGGGCCATGCACACCTAAGGATCACAGGATCATTAATACCTAAGGATCACAGGATCATGAATACCTAAGGATCACAGGATCATGAATACCTAAGGGTCACAGGATCATGAATACTTAAGGATCACAGGATCATGAATACCTATGGATCACAGGATCATGAATACCTAAGGGTCATAGGGCCATGCACACCTAAGGATCACAGGATCATTAATACCTAAGGATCACTGGATCATGAATACCTAAGGATCACAGGATCATGAATACCTAAGGGTCACAGGATCATGATTACTTAAGGATCACAGGATCATGAATACCTAAGGATCACAGGATCATGAATACCTAAGGGTCATAGGGTCATGAATACCCAAGGATCACAGGATCATGAATACCTAAGGATCACAGGATCATGAATACCTAAGGGTCATAGGGCCATGCACACCTAAGGGTCATAGGGCCATGCACACCCAAGGATCACAGGATCATGAATACTTAAGGATCACAGGATCATGAATACCTATGGATCACAGGATCATGAATACCTAAGGGTCATAGGGCCATGCACACCTAAGGATCACAGGATCATGATTACTTAAGGATCACAGGATCATGAATACCTAAGGGTCACAGGATCATGATTACTTAAGGATCACAGGATCATGAATACCTAAGGGTCACAGGGTCATGAATACCTAAGGATCACAGGATCATGAATACCTAAGGGTCACAGGATCATGATTACTTAAGTATCAAAGGATCATGAATACCTAAGGATCACTGGATCATGAATACCTAGGGATCACAGGATCATGAATACCTAAGGGTCACAGGATCATGATTACTTAAGGATCACAGGATCATGCTTACCTAAGGATCACAGGATCATGAATACCTAAGGATCACAGGATCATGAATACCTAAGGATCACAGGATCATGAATACCTAAGGGTCATAGGGTAAAACACATCTCAGGGTCATAGGGTCATGGACACCTAAGGGTTGCAGGTCTGCACAGGGAATTGCGCTAGGGTATGTGTTCTCAACTGCTCAATTAGAAGAACACAGTTTATGTCATTACAAAATTCAGATTAAAAAATGCAACTCATAAATAGCATCTGTAGATTTATCCTATTCTCACCTTCCCAAATGCCTCCCTCTTTTCATTGAACAGCACTGTTTCCTCATTCAGAGCAGGGACGTCCTTGCTGGCTTGAATGATGGCTGATACCAACATGACATAAGAATCGGAGTTATGGCACAATAGTTGATTACCATGATTGCTAGTAGTGGTACGATACACCAATCGTGATTTTTCACTTCTCGATACAAGTATCGATCACAATTGCCCACTAAGTTAAAAGTATCGATTCTTAGCTTAAATGTATTCTTTAATAAATGTTACACTAAAAACTAATTACAAGTGAAAATGAGTAGTGAAAACGTCAATATTTTCATCCATTGCACCATACTTGACAATGCCAATAGTAAATTGTTAGTGTGCCAGGTATTTGGCAAGCCTGTCTATGAAAAAGATGGCTTACGCATCAACGATATGAGTATGTACAAGTAATGATAAGTGTTGGATCGTGAGCAAGATATCGTGATATGTATCGGACCACACAGTTGGTGTATCGTCCCAGCCCTAAAGATTGCAGTGATCAGGTACAATACAATAATTACCGATACATAAACTGTTTCATTACACAGGTGTTATCATTGTTACCTGAACTCTTTACAAATGTACATAGAAAAAATTACAAAATCTGTATTGTCGAATTCACTAACCTAGAACGCCAACTATTCCAGAGACCTTTCCAATTTCCTGCATCTCCACAGTCTCATCCACAGAAATCTTCAGTTCCTCCAAGGGGGGTAACTCCTGCAACAAAACAGCACCTGGCAAATTGATTTGACGGCAGCATAGTCATGGTGATAGCAATCCACACACATGCAATACCAATTACAGTGTCATAATTTTAGAAGTGATTCAAACAAACATGAGCAAGAACTGGACTTATGAAAGCTCACCTCTGGGTAGAGTTCCCCTCGTGTTCGGATGCCATCAAAAGCTTTCTTCTTCTTTCCTGGTTTTTCTTCTTCTTCTTCCCTGTTGATAAAGGCCGAAATTGAAACACAGTAAAACACATAGCTTGCGTAGTGAACACATCTAGTGTGTCTAGAGAGACAATATAAGTTGTAGCAGTGACACGAGGGGTACACATGGTACATGTGGTTTTATGCATCCCACCTTTAGGTTTTATACCACAAGCTGTTTTCAAGACATTTCCGCTCTCAAATTTTCAGTTCTGACAATAAATGATTCTTTCCTTAATCAAGCAGTGTTTTCAATATTTTTGGGGACAGATTTCAACCAAAACATTTCAAAAAAATTACTCATTGCTAATTTTGCACCTTTGGCAATTTATTTGATCCGGCTTGTAGCGCATCTGAATTATGAAGCTACAAGAAAACAAGAGTTATTACTATCCCATGATCCCCCGCCATGGGGCGCTTCAGAATTTGAGGTATTTTCCCCAAAGCTGATTTTCTAAATTCATGCACTGCAAACAGGATGCACAAAATCTAAAGCATGGAGAAAGGGAGGGTAAGAGGGAAAAACAGGGAAAAACACAAAAGTTGGGTATTTTTTACAGAAATACCAAAACATCAAAACACCAGTTCAGCAGTGTTATATAAATATGTAAGTTTTGTATTAAAATTAAATATGAAGTATTACATGGTTTCATGAGTTCTGTTTCGGAAACGAAATGTGGCGGAAGAACTGCATCCATTTCTATATCCCCCTCTCGCTTTGTAGCTTGTGATAATAGTTGTGGCCATGCATTAATTCGGATTTGATACACCAAAGGTGGGACCATTGATACAAAGTTTCAGCTCTATAGGCCTTTCAGTTTCGAGGGAGGTGTTGAAAATGAGAAAGTTAACAGCGAACGGTCAAGGTGCCATGACATAAAGCTCACTTGACTTTCATACAGGTGAGCTAGAAATTTAGGACAAAACACCTGTGTAGACATGGTACAAGTAAAAAAATGTAGTCATTTATCAGCACATATCCAAAACATACATCAGCCTTTGTTCCTACTGATGCCTGCACCTTCAACTTTTAAAATAGTTCCTACCTGTCGGACACAGATTCATGTTTTGGCTCCTCCAGATCTGAGCCTGACGTTGTGGAAGTGCTGCTGTCGCTGTCGTTGCTGGAGTCCGCCTCATCTCCACTGGAGTCCTCGTCAACACGGTAGGCCATGGGCACCTTTACCTGCTTTGTCTTACGTGACCTGTCCTCTCTTATGATTATCTCTGTTTGTGTTATTGCTTCTATCTCCATTTTCCCATTTTCTTTCTTTTCCTCTTTATTTGTCTCTTCTTCGTCTTTCAGGCTGGTTTTCCCAGTGTCACATATCACATCAGGTTTACTATCTAAGCTGAAGTCATTCTGCTGTGTAACTACTTTATCCAGATTGACATCAGTAGGATGTGTATCATCTGCCTTATCATTTTCTGAAACTGCGCTGATCTTATCATCCTTAGGAATATCTCTACTCTCGCCATTCCCATCAACACCATTATAACTGTTTTTTATCAGTACGTTCTTTTCAATACTATCTGTTGATTCAGAAACTGTCATGTCCTCTGCTGGAGTGTCATCTTCAATCTTGTTATGGGTGGCTTCCTGTTCTGTGTTCTCACCAGCAGACACTGTCATCTCGGTCTTCACTACAGGATCAGCTGAAGCAACCTCCATGGCAACTGGACTTTCCTTTTCCTCAGACATTTCTGAAGTGAATATTCATTAACCCTCTTCTATCTGAAACTGTCGAATTAGTAAATATGGTAAACGAATTGAAAAACTGCCCGAAAACTAACCCCCATTTAATATAGGCAGTGTTATGGTCGTAATATATTGACTAAATGATCAAAACATATTGTTTTGCTGATTGAGAGAACCAACGGTGTCGTATATCACCATCTAAAAGTGGCGTCCACATTTACTCAACCTGGACTAGCTCACCACCGATCAATTCCTTGTATCATCATCTAACGAAACCAAAGTTTTTCAATTGACAGTTATGCAACGACGCTCGGCGGAAGGAACAGAGCACAAACCTTTGTATGTTAACAACCAGGGATTAGATTATTAGATCGTATGGGTTTCTTTTCTGGTTCTTCTCTGGTTCTGCTCTTTCGTTATTTTGATCAACCATGTGCTCCGAAGTGACCCGGGGTCAACCGGAAGTTATCGTATTGTTCGCTCATTAACTCTGAATGTGTATATTTATTCTTGTGATAGATCAACTCAATTTTCTTACTATATGATATATGAAAATATGTATAAAATAACCATTTTGCTTTTATTTCGTGTAATAAACAAATACTAGGTGTGTGTCTATAGATGATTCCTAAAAGCGCTAAGCTTGGTGCGCGAACCAACTGCGGGACCAGTTTACTCAAGGTCGTCACGCAGACGCATTTCTCAAACTTCCGGCGTGTTACATGTGCCTGTGAATGTCATCAGGAGAACAAGGTCTTAATACCCTCACCCTTTCAGAATGGATCCGCAAAAAGGACGATCGAGTATATTTTCTCCCTACTCTTCTAATGACCCGAGCATGAATGTACCAGGTATATACGTCTTTTGTTAATCTATCAGATTATTACCTCTCAACCTTCATGATGTTGCATGATGAAAGTCAATTCATGAGTAAAGTTGATTGCCATGGCATTTGTTGAGCAGTGTAGGACAGGGCTGGGACGAGTAACTCGGGAACTCGGGTCGGGTGGGTCACAAGTAGGACCCGGATACCCACTGGACTACTGGGACCCGTGGTTAGATACAATGACATTAAAAGTCGCTTATGTTTGGGTAGGGTTTGGGGATTGAGTACCCGGGTCGTAAATATGGACTCATCCAGCCCTAGGAGGACAACACAAAACTTTCGGGGATTTGATTATATCGGGTCGGAGATAACGTTAGATCGTTGTAATCTAGATGTTACTATGACATAACCAGCTGAATACTTGTTATGATCGCATAGAGTAATTGTAAATTGTGACAGCAGTGTGCAAAAAGAGGAACACTGAGGAGTATAAGGAGTCTGAGTGGGGTATTCATGTTAAACTGCAGCATAGTGTCTTGGTGGGCTAGCACTACAAAATCGGCATTAGTCCAGACTACCAGTAGTACAATCAGCCACATGCACTAGTGCATGCACGTCGCTATATAAGGGCAATTTTTAATGTGACGTTCCGTGTGCGAAATACGCTACAGTCGGAAAGCGCACGTTAAATCTTCTATATCAGTCAGTCAGAATGTGACGTGTAATCCCATTTCACCTCACCTCACTTAAAGGGGCACTGATCTAACGCAATTGCCCGGGACTGGTTGTTGCCTTTGTTATTGTTTTTTCCCAGTGAGTACCCGGATGTATAGCAGACATCTAGACTAGTTCGCGACCTCTGCTGCGCCATTCGTAAGCGCATTAGTCACTTTTATGGGTAGTAATAAGGGCGTATGGTCACATTGATCAACAAAATGAAATACAGTTTTCGAGATAATAAAGAAATGTAGGTATCTTTGTGAGTAGCATCGGTAATGGTGACGAAGTTTTGATAAGTCACTTGCTTGGTAATTTTGCGATTTTTGTTTACACTATTTTGACTTGCAACACAAAGTATATATTTCACCTGAGCATATGCTTTTTTATAGTGTGTATATTTTTTTACTGTCAAATGTGTAACACATTTATTAAACGTCTAAATATTCAGTTATTTTATAAAGTGACTGAAAAACATTTCCATCTGTATTATTATGACAACGAATTCCAAACATTTTGATGTTTAATGTCATCACCAAGAGACTGAAAATGTAACGTTGAAAAGTACATTTCTAAGTTGTTTGGCTTTTAATCCTACATAATAATCTGTTGTGATGTGTGTAGGCCCTTTTGATCGTCTTGATCAATCTGGACAGATTTTTTAGTCAAAATGACTGAAATATTTACACATTTTATAAATTGCCTGAGAGAATCAAAGGAAAAGACCTGTGACAACGACTATCGCGCATTGAAGAATTTCCCAACCAAGACGTAGAGAAACAAGAACGAATCGGTTCAAATGAAGGTCTGGAAAACAAAATGCAGATATCATAATTACAACCTACCAAATTTATGTGTATAAGTTTTAGGCAGCTTCCTTGTTCGAGGAATGTATCCGTGAATATCCACACAAAGGAACAATATCCCACTCGTCTGCAGCTGTACAAAGAAACTTATTCGATGTCACGTGTCTCAGTAACAATCAAATATTTTAAAAGATATATATCGTTTCGGGATATTATAACCCGTGTTCATTTCTCAACTGATCGCTTGGATTGTTTCAGGTGTTTTACATAGGTGTCAAGTCTCAATGGTCGGCTGAGAAAGCCCACGTGACAACTATTTTCATAGCGTCCACGGTTCCTAAAAATTCCATTGAGTGATAGATAACAATGATCAATCAATCAACGTATTATCAGTTAACCCTTTGAACAAAGTATGTTGTTTTTACATCGGCACTTCGCGTCATGATATGAGTGTATTCCCTTTGTTTTAGTAAACCTAGACATGTAAACACTCACTCTTGACATATCCACTGTGCAAGATAACAGTGATTAATCAATCAACGTATTTTCTGTTAATCCTTTGATGACTAGGAACGATCCGTTGATTTACAAAAAAAAGTAAATCAACTGATCATTCATCTCTTGCTGGATTGCCACGTGCATATTACATAACACACATTTCACCTCACTTCAAACCTGGATTTAGATTGAATAATTACCCCAGACACAATAAATGCCAAATGGGAACCTTTGTCAGGTAATATAAGTGGTGCTACCACTAATTGTACCTGTAATAAATTCATTAACTGAGCATCAAGTGAATGACGACAAATACACAAGTGTAGGGTTATACGAGAAAACGTGGATGACAACAAGGGAGTAGTAATCGTAATATCGACGCAAGCCGAAATCCGAAAATGCATTCACTGCATGGATACTGTTTTTAGTATTAAACTATAACCATCTGGGGTATTTCCAAATGACGACATCCGATGAGCTCCCTTGTTCTTTTTGTCTGTTTGTTTAGGCTGAAGAAATGAATTAACATGCGCCCTTTGTCGAAATCTTTATAGATCACAGTTAACCAATCAGTGTTCAAAAATGCGTAAAACAAATATTGCCTCCAGCCTTCAAGTTTATTTAGCTGTCCTTGCAGACGGTACCCCAGTCTCTGGTCACGCTCAGTTGCGTTGCGTATCATCCGGGTACTCACGGGGGAAAAACAATAACAAAGGCAACAACCAGTCCGTTAGATCAGTGCCCCTTTAATGTTCATATTGGGAACTGTCTAAATCAATGGGAACCCCAAAACAAATTGGACCCCCATTTATGTAAGTCAAGGCTAAACCCTAATGTATGTTTGAAATGTATAATGAATGACTCTATGGGGTTTATATTCAATGAAAAGTGTTCAGTAGGGTTTTGCGCGATGCACAGATCTTGAGATTTGACGCAGAAAAGAATATACTGCAACCCGAGAGGTGCACAATAATATTCATTGTTCCAACATCCAGAGCAGTTATGGGTGTCAAAATGTACAATAAACTACACCATTTCATTACTTTACAGGACCCTCATATTGTCTGCAAGGACCCTTAAAATTAGTATTAATTTATTATTAGCTGTTGGCAAAATACATTTTCAATCAAAATATTGTACTGTCAGTATCTCACTGTCAATCACATAATATTTATTAGAAGCAGAGACAATGAAATTAGTTCATGGTTCATTTGGACAAATGTTTGAAGAACTGTTTATGTAACTTTTGTAACATAACTAGTCTCAAGATTGGAGGACTGATGACCATGTCTATGTATAACCCTGTATTTGCCTTGTTCTATCTTGTGTAATCACTTGTTCACCATGTTCACATCCACAGTGACTGCTGGTGCTGCAGGATCCATCATGTCACCGTATCTCAACATTGACCCCTCATATATTGGCTCGGTGAGTGGCTGACCTCCATGTATTGACAGACCTCATCTTGTACATGTTGTATGAAGCCCATTATTTATTATGTTCATGTATGTGTAATATATGTGTGATATATGTGTGATATATGTGTAATATATGTGTGATATATGTGTGATATATGTGTGATATATGTGTGATATATGTGTAATATATGTGTTATTATATATGTAATATATGTGTGAGTTTTTCCTAATGTTCAGTCATATTAGATGATGTTTCAAATATGAGAACATAACTGGTAACCTTGGTTACTGATAAAGTTGACCAACTTTTAACAGTAAAAATTGTTATTGAACTATACTAGTTTATCTTTACTTTGTCAAGTGTCCAGCCTTAGAAATTCTTTATTTTCAAGACTAGTTCAAATGACTTGATAGATTGTCTTTATTTCCGGTATTGAAGATACATTATATAAGATAGATACATGAATATAGATTAAAACTAAACAAAGTAGTTACATGTCAACCCGTGAAGATTCTGGGGTAGAATAGGTCTTCAGCAACCCATGCTTGCCGTAAGAGGTGACTATGCTTGTCGTAAAAGGCGACTAACGGGATCGGGTGGTCAAGGTCACTGACTTGGTTGATGCATGTCATCGGTCCCAAATGCGTGGATTGATACTCATGATATCAATCACTGGATTGTCTTGTACAAACTCCATTATTTACAGACTGCCGTCATATAGCTGGAATATTGCTGAGTGCGGTGTTAAACAACAAACCAACCAACCAAGTTACATGTCATAGTGAAGGGGGTATGAACAAATGCTGCCACGTATTATTGAACAAGACAAAGATGATTACTATGTTTAATTTTTTTGTATGTTTCCTCAGTTTGATTATAAAATTGAAACATTGAGATCCGATTCAGAATTATGGAGCCCTTAAGTGCTTCTAATCATTGCGGACTTCCTTCATTTGGTTTTTACTTGTCCTCAGCACAATTTAGTAGTTTCAGGCTAGTGGACCAGCATGAATTTCAATGGCTGGTGTCCATGACACAGGTGTAATCCACTTGTTTGTTAACACCATATGGATTAATGTGCCTTGATGTCAGCAAGGGAACTTTTGTTCATGTCGTCAGTGTGTCAGTAACAGCATATATTGGCATGTAATAGTTGAATCTGTTCAAACTTTAGGGAGGCGATGGAGACTTCATATTCCCAGAAGGGGCCAACAGACAGCGAGGCCGACTGGAGCTGTCATTTTCTCAGATTGGCGGTTCTGTCTTCGCAGGTACTGCATAAACATGTTTCAGAAAATATTTGTCCCTTTTACAAATGTTTCCTATCAAAGTCTTTTCAAAATGATATTTCAGTTTTATTGCTTGAATTCACTATGTACTTTCTGGTTTCCTTTTTTCGTCATTCCATGATATGTGGTGCCTTGGCACAGGATCGACAGTTGAATAAATAATTCAGTAATTAAATATCATTTGAGAAACTGTATGGTCTTCATTTTCAATTTGTGAAATATTTGCAAAATAATATTTTTCAGAACTCTGGTGTAGCAAATTAAGGGGAGACCACTCATTTCCATATCAGTGTTCAGTTCTATATCATTACATATACTCCCCGTATTCCTGCAAATCTGCTTACATTAATGTTTTGTATTACATGAGTTTGCCCTTGATCAACATGATTCAGCAGGAAAATTCCATGATTGCCAAATAGTTTGACACGCTGTTTCTTTCTTGTCAGGTGCAGCCGTCGGTGGTATGAATGGGGTTCTGACAGGGTATCGGGAAACCCGTGCCGCACAGTTGACAGGAGCAGTGAGGAGAACACAGTCAGTACATCTTTCCTCATACATTTTCATGAACCAGTGGAGGGGCACATGTGACAAGTAGTGGTATATGGTGTTTCTTTCCATGCCAGAATCTACTAATGTTTGTTTGAGTTCTAGATGACCCATCTCCTGGTCTAGTGGTAGAGCATCCACCCAGAGAGCGGAAGGTCCAGGGTTCAATTCCCGGCCGCCTCATACCAAAAGATGTTAAAAGATGGTACTTGTTACTCTGTCTGGGTCTCGGCATTGAGGGGCTATAACAAGGACTGGTCGGCTCAGAGTCAGTATACTGTGTCTGAGTAGGGAAGTCATGTGGTATCTCAGTGGGCTAGCACTATAAATCGGCATCAGTCCGCACTAGTACAAGCAGCCACACACACATACGCACATGCAGGCACATCGCTATGTATAAGTACAATAATCTTGGACAAGACGTTAAACCCCATTTCAGCTTGAGTCCTAGATGCGGCTCTCATACTGATCTTTATCTGACAGCACCATATCCCTGGTTATTTGATCTGAGGGTGCCTGACAGGTAAATGCAGTGATCCCCATGGGGATACTGGGTTAGAATTGGTCCCAACTAACCTATGCTTGTTATAATAGATGACCAATAGGGTGGTCAGGCTGATTGACTTGGTGGATTGCATGTCATCGTACCCCAACAGCACTGATTGTTGCTCACAATATCAATCATTGGATTTTCTGGGCCAGACTCAATTATTTACAGGATGACAGCATATAGCTGACAGAGTGCTGATTGTGGTGTTAAACAACAAACACGCAAATACGTGTAGCGATTTGACTGAAATAGTACTTTTCAACATGTAATAGTACTTTTCAACATGTTACTTTTCAACATGTTCAAGGTTGAGGGCATTGGTTGCCCAGTCCTCGAAGGGGCAGGGCGATGGGGTAGCCTAGTGGTTAAAACATTCACTCGTCACGCTGAAGACCCAACCGGGTTAGATTCCCCACATGGGTACAATGTGTGAAGCCCATTTCTGGTGGCCCCTGCAGCGACATTGCTGGGATACTGCTAAAAGTAGTGTAAAACCATATTCACTCTCTTACCCCCTCAAAGGCGCAACTGTTCAGGGTTGCATCCCTTAGGTATGCCAGGATCATATAACCATGGTTTCAAATCCCAGAGTTGCCCTGATCATGATCCTTGGTTTGTCACCATCATGACACCAGTGCTTGAAACCCATGATGATCTGGGGTAGCATAGGTCTTCAGCAACCCATGCTTGCAGTAAAAGGCAACTATGCTTGTCGTAAGAGGCGACTAACAGGTTGGGGTGGTCAGGCTCGCTGACTTGGTTAATGCATGTCATCGTATCCCAGTAGTGTAGATTGATGCTAATGATATCAATCACTGGATTGTCTGGTCCAGACTCGATTATTTACATATGGCCATCATGTAGCAGGAACATTGCTGAGTGTGTTATTGGAGTTGGCGTTAAACAGACAATCAAACAAACAGCAAATCTGTGCTTGTAAATTTCTCCAAAGTGAAATCACTTTGTAGTTTCCTCATACATGTAGTTAAAATGCCAAAACGTAACTGAAATGCTGTTCAAAGAAAATTAAACCCAAATCACAATGAACAAAAGATTAGATTCAATTTGTGGTGCCGTCCGATGGAAGAGCTCTTAAAATCATCAGTTTGGTAGTTGCAAATCTTGGAAGACTATGTTGAGTGAAACTGTACATGTCTCTGCTGGTATATCAAGTTGTAATGTTATTTTGTAATCTGCAAGTGTAGAGATCTCAATTTTTGTTCTATATTATCAAATGAATTATGGCCAGTGCTGTAATCGTGATGTACACTGTCTTTTACAGAATGCTGAACTTCATCACCAAACAAGGAGCTTCATCTGCCCAAACTCTGGGGGTTGTAGGTAAATAACTAAAATAATATGTTATGTCGTAGTTGTTTTTTAAACAGTATGAATTGATCAGTAATGATAATGCTACCCGAAAATAAATTATTGGGTACCCTGACGTTAATGGGTAAATAAATTGTTCCATTTTCCCATATAATATTCAGGTGTTCTATTATTAACTGTAAGCATTTCCCTCCTATGTCTGACCTTAACATCTATCTACACTGACCTTGACCTCTATCTCTCTGTGTCACCAGCTCTGATGTACAGTATATTTGGCGTGGTGTTGTCCACAAGTCGGGGTGTAGATGATGAACTCAACACAGTAGTAGCAGGCACTGCCACTGGCTTCCTGTACAAAAGCTCAGGTAGGGAATGTTGGGTAAACTGAGTCATGTTCCAATGCAACTTGCGACCCGTGAAGATCCGGGAGAGAATAGGTCTTCAGCAACATATGCTTGCCATAAAAGGTGACTATGCTTGTCGTAAAAGGTGACCAACAGAATCGTATTCCATTGCGTGGATCAATGCTCATGTTTTCAATCACTGGATTGTGTGGTCCAGACATGATTACAGACCACCTTCATATAGCTGGAATATTGCTGAGTGCGGCATTAAACAACAAACAAACAATGCATCTTTCAGAATCATATCATATAGTGTCTTACAGACTTAGTGGTTAGAATGTGAGGTATATAACTAACCAGATAATATGTCTTCAAAGGATGGCTTAGGAGATAAGTATTATGAATGTGTAGAGTTGTTCTGTTGTTATGGTGTATTTGATGCCTGGAGATTTCATTTGGTAAACTTTTGGAGCCTCAATGCTCAATAACAGCTGTGATATTGCTAGCAGTGGCATACATCATACACTTGCAGAATGGATTGCTTTGATCCGGAGTTGACTTAGTGACTGACTGTGTTTCAGCGGGCTGGAAGAAGTGTGTACGTGGAGGAGCAATAGGCCTGACCCTGTCTGTGGCTTACGTCTTGTTCACCAGCAGAGATCGACTCAAGTCTGTCATGGGCAGAGATTAATTTATGACTTGTCAGTGTGACTGATTAAGAGAGTGAGTGTGGGGTCATGCATTGCACATACTAGGGCTGTAATCATGTAATGATAACGACATGATGCGTCCCAGGATAGTATGTTGGTGACATTGGTACACACTGTTAAAGTAAAGAACTTGCCAGTTGGTGCTGAGCCTTGTAAATGTGTAACACAAGCTGAAAGCCAGGAACAAGACATAAAAGAGAGTGCCAACAAGGGAGGCCCCCCGAGGATCAAACAGCCAGAAATGAAATAGTCATTGCATCTAGGCAGCTGGACCCTGTTCCACATTGTTGCGCTAAGGTGATCGTAACTCCCATACTTAAACATAGACTTACGACTGTCGTAGCGCTACAATCGTTTTGTGGAACAGGCTCCTGGTTTGTAGCTGCTAAACTGGATGTCAACACCAAGAGACTTATCTGGAAGCATTTCAGAGAAGTCAAATAATTGGAAATGTTTTGACAATACTCTACCCAAAGAGAAGGCATTTATGATTCCTCTTCACACCATGGAGCATTTACTTGCAGTGTTCAGAATTAAGCATGAACGTGAAGGGGTCCTTGTCTTAGTGTTAAAAATGTAGTTGGATCCTAAGTTCCAGTACTAAAGCAGCAGACGTCAAGGATCCCAGGACCCCTCTTCGTTGTGGAACACTGACTTGCATAGGAGGAAATGTTAAGTTTTGTCAATTCATGGCATACCGGGGCCCAGAGTATGCTGATTGCAGCCCTATGATGAGTCTGTGTGTGTGAGTGTGTGAGAGACCGAGCTTGTGTGTGTGACTGTGTGAGAGACGGAGCTTGTGTGTGTGACTGTGTGAGAGACGGAGCTTGTGTGTGAGAGACAGAGCTTGTGTGTGTGACTGTGTGAGAGACGGAGCTTGTGTGTGTGAGTGTGTGAGAGACAGAGCTTGTGTGTGAGGCTGTGTAAGAGACAGAGTTTGTGTGTGCATGTTTATATAGAAATTGTGTAAGGATCGTGAATCCTAAGTGGTTGATGCCAGTGATGTTTGTGGAGGAATGCAGATGTGTGTATGACAGGATATGAAGGTGTAAAAGTGTTTTAGTATACCAGGATCATTGCCAGTAATGCATTCATCAAGATCATACGTGTGGGAGACATGGCTGATGGTGTGTAGCATGGGGAAGACACGCTGAGAACTCTACTGAGCAGCACCAAACTCTACTGAAGGAGAGTCTGATTACATTTCTAGTGTAAATAAAATATATAAGAAAAACATCAGTCTGCAACTTCAGTCATGTGGTAATATTTGTTTGGTCAAGTACGCACGTCAAGTATAATGATAGTCCATACCGGTATGTGGAACAGTTAAATCTACTGAAGAATGAAGCCAGGAGACAAATCCAGGCCAGTTAGACTCAAAGTGTTTGGCACAGACTTAAACATTCTGATCATGCTTACCATCATGTGTCACTTTTGTGTTGTTCCAATTGTAAATCTTCGTAGCCATGGTAACATGACAACATCCTTTTCTGGATGTTGGGGTAATTTCCAAAGTTTGAATTTGAAGGAAACCAAAAACTTTTCATTTCCAGGTAAATTTGAATAGTGAATATTCCAGTTGGAACTTCCTTGATATTTTGAATATACATCCTTGGAATTCACTATGTTTCTTATTTTGCCATGTGTATTGTAGTATATTTGGACATATACTTGCAGTTACTGTGAGTGATGTTGGTTAGAGGAGACAGTTTGTTAATGTCATTGAGTGTTTGTTTGTTTGTTTGTTGTGTGTTTTAGATAATATGAACATACCAAGATCAATAAACCTATATAAGAATCAACTGTTAGCTTTCTGCAAGTTTTTCCATGCTTGGTGACTTTTATTATCAGTGTAATGTGATTAATCGTGTTGATGAGAACGTTCTCCAAGTAATTCTCAGTGAAGCTGTTTCCAAAACCAGAGCCCACATGCACAACACGATCTCAACACAAGGAGTTTCTTAACTACCACAGCACTAAGATCTATTTGTAGAACAAGGCACTGGAGTCTCATGACTAATTAATAAAGTAAACATGTTATTCTAAAAATTCTATGTGAGCTGTCAATTACATTTCAAACATCCAAGTCTATTCTTTTAGAAAATTTATGAAAGTACTGATTACTGAAATTTGTTTTGCAAAATGAAAGACTGCCTACTTGTTTGGTTGTATGTTCAAGTAAACATAGTCTTCATAAGCTGATGTCCATTATATGATCTAAGGGTACTAAGTCAGTTTCTTAGACCATGGTTTGAACAGGAACCCATGGCTAATATGGACGTTTTACGAAGATGACCCATGTGTGTGATGAAACTGTACATAGTTATATAAAATAAACGATGTCAAATATGAAGAAAGAGTTGTCTTATTCTTCTGTAGTTGTGTATCCCTACTTTTTGTCACATGACAAACCGGAACATGCAGCGCCCGTTTCCAGCCCACCTTGACATCCTTAATGAGAAGTTATATGTTGTGTGGGGGTGGTTGGGTAGCCAAGTGGTTAAAGTGTTCACTCCTCAAGCCAAAGACCTGGGTTTGATTCCCAAAAAGGGTTCAATGTGTGAAGCCCATTTCTGGTGTCCCCACTGTGTTAGTGCTGAAATATTGCTAAAGGCAGTGTAAAACAATACTCACTCACTATATGTTGTGACTTCATCTAACATGACACCCCAAAGCTGTCAATTTTTGGCATTAATTCTTATAACATCTTGTCCAAGTCTTCTGAACATGTCAATATCATTTTCACATGACATGTTCTACATATAGCTAGCTCCAATTAAGGAAACTTTCATTTTGAAAAATTACCCAGATTCTCGCGTCAGACAGCTCTTTACCTGCATGGGTGGCACCGGTGGCCCAATCGTTAAAGGTGCTGCAACTAGCTGTGCAGAGTTGGGCATGCCAGAAACCTATGATTGTGGGTTTGAATCTCGGTTCACCTTAATGTATGTTTCTAGGTTTGCCAGCACCATGTCCATGCTCGTGGATTTAACCAAAGTGGTAAACATGACCTGCATCACTTGGGACTTTCCTCTGAGGACATGTGGGAGGTAAAGGGTGAGTGAGTTGGGTTTAACACCGCTTTTAACATTATTCCAGTTACATCACAGCGTGTCAGCTTAATGTGAGAGACAAGCCAGAAGGGATGCAGGTCTCAGACGTTTACCACTTCGGTGAAATCCACGAGCATAGGTAAGGTGCTGACAAACCTAGAAACATAATCGGGGCGGGATTCGAACCAACAATCATAGGTTTCTGGCATGTCCAAGGGACACAACTCTGCACAGCAAATTGCGGTGTCTAAGATGACTGGGACATCAATGCCCCCTATATACAGTAATAGGCTAAAGACAACATGTTGAACAACATGTCAAAAGTGATAGAGAGGACTTTTGTCCATCCCTCATGAGCATGATTCATACCCAGAAAGCATTTTATTATTAGACTTCTTCTATATATTCTATATTCTATATTTCTTTTTTCTCCCCAGACTGCACTTTATTTTTTCAAAATGAAACACAAAACATGATGCCTCTGAAGCAAGTAGTCAGGACCGAAGAACCAATTTGTTTTTGTTTCTTAGCCTAATGTCAATGAAGCCATGCCATCATGTCTGACGACCTATGCCCCAAGCTTAGCATGGCGTCTTCTATGTTGGCAGTCCATTTAACATTATCTTCGGTTGACTGCAAACTCAAATCCCTGTTGCCTATACATCCATCACTCGTCTCTGTTCACCTGCACAGACCATGCAGGGAGCATCCATTGTTTCAAACTACCCTCCCAAATCGGGTGACATTAACTCGGCTGACTGAAACCAGCTGACAGCTGACTGATGGGGGGGCTGTTTACAGACGGACTCGTCTCGCGGTCTGATGCTCATGTCCACTCCAGATTAAAAGGGAGATTAGGATGCCGTCTCGTCTCATTTACACTAAGGGTCAATCATTTGATATTCTGTTTGAAACTGTTCCCGAAAATGCTAGGAAAAAATCATTTGTCCTCCAGAGACCTGTGAAGATCTGGGGTAGAATAGGTCATTAGCAACCCATGCTTGCCGTAAAAAGCGACTGCTTGTCGTAAGAGGCGACGAATGTGATCGGGTGGTCAGACCTGCTGACTGGGTTGATGGATGTCATCGTATCCCAATTGCATGAATAGATGCTCATCATGTCAATCACTGGATTATCTGGTCCAGACTTTATTATTTACAGACCACTGTCATATAGCTAGAATATTGCTGAGTGTGGCGTTAAACAAATAAACAAACAAACAGGACAGTGAATGGCCAAAGTGGTCAAATGTAACTGTCATATTCGGGATAAAACATTCCAAGTAAAGTAGTTCCTAGATTATGTAAATAATAAGAAAAAGTTGTCCCTTTCAAAGGCTGGCCTGCTTGTAGTGTCCGCTTATCTAGACTTGACTAGTATGAGGATAGAATTACTACACATCCATGGACACTCCAGTCAGACCAGACCACCTTGGTGGGTGGCCCATCCATCTTTGCAACAAACATTAGTTTTTGTATACTTTATTTACCATTTGCATGGGTAAAAACAAATGAATCAAGAATACAATGGTGTATAAATGGTGTATAGAAACTACACGACTAAACACTGATGACACATATGTGTATAATATATCTGGATGTCTAGAGCAACCAAACAAACTGTCCAGCTGGGATAAATGTACATATCAGGAAATAATGTGTGACTCAAATATAACTATATAAAAAAAGTTAAGAACCAAACATTTCTTTCATATAACAGATTAAGTATCATTATATGAAAGAATCAGGTTGTCCTTAACTTCTTATGAACAGTATAGAACACAAGTGAAGCCAGTTTTCACTAATTTTAGAAATAGAACCACTAGACACTGTAGCTCACTAGCACATGGTTGTAACTTCAGTATAATAAATATTGAAAGACTGAATTCTACAAAACAATAAATTAAGGCTAATTTAACTAAGCGAGTAAGAACCTATATACAACACAATGAAGGGTATGACTTCAGAAATACAAATTATATACACAGTCGTACATTGACAGAAATATGACCAAGATGTCAAAAAATATAGGACAACACCCCATTGCATAAGCTTAGTGTTGTCTTGGTCCTGGTGTGCTGACATGTACATAGCTACACAGTTACACACATCTGCGTTGACCTAATAAACTAAAGTAAAACAAGGCTCATTGTATGAATAAGGAAAGGATAAAGAGAACAGACTAAGGGTTTTTATATACCAGGAATGTACAAGGAAGCTAAAACAATTTGATTCCCTTGTTGAATTGTGTCCTGTCAAATAGCCATGGACACCCCCAACATTCTCACAACAAACAGTTGCAGGGCCAAGGGTTGGCTTGTTTGGATAAGGGAAACCAACAGTCTGACATGGCTACAAATCAAACAAAGGCCATTTCAATAGTTTTATTTGTTGGATCACATATCATGCTGCCCGTAGAAAATCATCCCCAATGCTGATATCCTGTCTAACCTGATAGTATGACCACCTCCATGGGCCAGTGGATAGAGCGTCTGCCTGGAGAGCAGACTGGTGGTTCGATCCATGCCATACCGGGGTCTTCAACAACCCATGCTTGCCTTAAAAGGCGACTATGCTTGTCATAAGAGGCGACTAACGGGATCAGGTGGTCAGGCTCACTGACTTGGTTGATGCATGTCATCGTTTCCCAATTGTGTTGATCGATGCTCATGATATCAATCACTGGATTGTCTGATCCGACTTGATTATTTAAAGACTACCGTCATATAGCTGGAATACAGCTGAGTGCGGCATTAAAACAAACATACCAAAACCCCTTAAAATATGGTACTTGTTGTTACCCTGGCAGATGGGGATAAAACAGGACTAGACTGGTGAGTAGGGTGAGTGGGGTATCCATGTTAAACTGTGACACTGTATCTCAGTGTGATAGCTGTGTTAAACCGGCTTTAGCTCAGACTAGTACAAGCTGCCACACACACACACACACACATACAAGCACATCACAATTTAAGTGTAATAATCTTGAACGCAACAGTAAACCTCATTTCACATCACCCAGTTTTATAAAAAATTTTAGCCAAAGTGATCACCAGTAGTTGCAGAATAATAAATTAAGTCATTTCCATTTCCCTGATGAACATACTTTGCTCAAATTAACTAACACATTTAAAAGAGATTGAAAATCAAAGTTCCTATAGTTTTTTCAACATCTCTGACTTTGGCAGCAAAAAATATGTGATCCAACAAACATATAAATAATGAAAAATGATGGGACAACACAAACAAATGTTATGGCAAATAATATTTCAACAGCCAATCAGGTCTTACATCTGCTTCTTCACATGAGAAAAAGGCCCCTGTTTAGGTCAGAGAAACTTGGTATACTGTACATGTATTCAGTTTCTCAAACATCATGTTGTGCATCCTTCAATCACAGGCACTTAAAAAGTGTTAAAATCCACCAAAAGCCTCTCAAAATCTCAACCGCATCAAATACCACTGAACAGGCAAGCATCCTTGTGGAGATATCTTCAACCATGTCTTTATAAATCTCACATTTTCTGCCTACAATTCCAAATACTGAACCAATTACTTTCAACTTAATGTTGATCAATATAAATGTTAATCCTATCAAAACCCATGAAGATGCGGGTTAAAAAAGGTCTTCAGCAACCCATGCTTGCTGTAACAGGTGACTGTGCTTGTCGTAAGAGGTGACTTACGGGATCAGGTGGTCAGTCTCGTAAGAGGTGACTAACAGGATATGTCATCTTATCCCAATTGCGAAGATCAATTCTTATGATATCAATCACTTGATTGTCTGGTCCACTCATTATTTACAGCCGTCATATAGCTGGAATATTTCTGAGTGCGGCATTATACAACAAACAAACAAACATAATCCTATCAATATCCCAAGACCTACGGGCTTTCCTTCCAGAAATGCAGTGATAGTGTTTCCTTCATGGCCTCTTTCTGAGCATATTACAGAACTTCAGTTATCATTTGGACCATAAAAGGATAAACTGAGTAATTGTGGGTGTTTACATGAGCTTTGATCTGTTTGCTAAGTTAAGTGTTGGGTTCCTTTTGCCCATTGCTAATCTCCTATCAGCGCCAATAATCAGTTGTTAAGTTTCCACCTTTGTCATATTTTCTTGTTCTTACAGATACATATAAATGTTCTCTGCATCATAGCATTTATTCACCTGATGAAGGAGTTAATATCCACTCCTAAACGTTGTGTTCCTCATAATGAAGAGGTTGACATCCATAAATTCTCTTCTGTAAGTGTATCTTATTGTTTCACAATGATTGTAACTGTTTGATATTGTTTC